TCACGATTATTGTCTCATCTGACAAATAAAATTTGATCATGTGGTCACGTGATTCTACTCCGCTTTAGACGTCCCCTTTATTTGGGACGGTCCTACCTGTAAGCCAATTAAATCGGGTTATTTGAGGACACGAAGATTTCCGATTTAAACGAACCAAAATATTGGTTACACCGTATTATACAGTATCATACGGCATCTGGTATTATAATAAAAACCCTATATATGTGCTCTCTCCAATCACATGATTTTGTATATGTTTACTATAGCAAGTTTATATTAGTCGGTAAATCACATTCTTGAAAGCAAGTTATATACAGTGTTAATTTTTCAATTAAAATTTACTGTGCAGCAAATAAAAAAAATCATTCTAGTAATCGGATTATCAAAGCTGTATGTAGTGCCTAACGCTAATAAAGAAAAATTTGAAACTTGTTAAAATCTTGCTTGAAATTTTGTAATAAATCTTTGAAGAAATCAAAAAGACCAGCCCACGATGGCAATTGTGGTACATAACTAGATCAGTATAGTACCACTATCGAACAAATTTTATGAGCAAAACCTACGGCTAAGGGCTTACTGGGTGCGGCCTCGTAGGCATTATATGACCAGGATACATTAACATTTCCAGTTAAACCCTTTATGATCTCTTCAAAAACGGAATTGTGACACACGACTGGGTCGGCATAGTATACCATCACTATTTTCGAACAAATTTCGTCGTGAACCCATTCGTGAGCAAACCTACGGCTAAGGGTTATAAAACGTTAAGTAGTGGCGATCTGCTGAATTTTGGTTTGTCACTCGATCTACGGAATACACCTCGCCTCGCTGCTCATGTGATCTACAGCTAATTCTCTAGCATCGTGTTTGTTTTTTCATTTTATTTCTTTGATATCCGACTTGCTCAGTCGGGCTACCAACTTCTTTGTTCGACTGCTGGTCTGGGCTATCGAAATCCATATCCACAACTAATCAAAAACACCATTCCCTTTCCTCCTCAACTTTTATCGCCCTCAGCGGTGGGTGGGTGGGCATTTACTGTATGACAAAGCTAGGCTTGCGTCGAGCTATCAGCAAAGACAAAAGAAGAACTAATTCCCTTTTCTTCTTCCTTAAATAGCCATTTACTATAACTAGGGTGTCCAGGATTATGCTGCTAGCATAATTTAACATAATCAAGTTTGCTAGCATAATTATTTGAATTTAGCACAATTTGAGTATATATGTAATATTAAATGCAGTATAAATATTTGTAAAATTTATATATAATTGTTATGGCTGATGCTATCTATAATTGAACCTATTTTGATATGAAATTTAAAAAATCTGTTTTTTTTTTTGACTTTTTTTAGAGTTGGTTAAGGTTTGGGTTAGAATTGATAATTACTGCATGTGGATTTTAGCAAGGTTTATATTTTCAAATCTAGGCCCCAAATTCCTATATTAGCCAATTTTTAGCATTGTTTAGAAAAAAACTAAGAAATTACAATATTAGCATAAAAATAAATTAATGCAATTAGCAATCATAATTTAGCAGCATAATTCTCATGAACTCGTGACAAATGGATGCCTCGTGACCAAGTTCACGGCATCTCATTGAGCATAGTGTTTGTAGTCGATAGCACATTAGCAACTAAGTCAATCAATTTTTTCGAAGATCGGCTTAGTCGACTTTCTATAAATTCAAAATTTAATACTATACTATATAAAAGTAAATGAGGATATAAAATAATCCAAAAGATTAGTCAAATAGTTTATCTTCCTTAAATGATTATTTACTAGTCAGCTGCTTATGGTTCTCTGAAATGAGCAATCGTTTCGCTTCATATTAGTATGAGAAACCAATAATGATCATAAAAAATAAAAAAAAATGCTCGGCTAAGCCAAACTTTATATTATCGACTTAGGACGTTCTCAAGCACCTACCTACCTAAATGGACTCAATAACGAATTTGATTGGTCTGTTAGATCAAATTTGCCAATCAGATTTTTTATTGAATTCATTGAGGTAGGTGCTTGAGAATGCCCTTAGTTAGAGATGTGAACCGTTTGTCGATCACGGCCCGCATTACGGTTAATTTGGGCCGTGATCGACAATCAAAAAAAATTGACCGATAATTTAGTCAATTTTTTATTATCGGCCAGGATCACTAATTATAATTGGCTGATGTAATGCAGACAGATAATCAAAATGATTCTCAATTCTTTCCGCTTCACTCTATCAAGGCTTCCTCGTTTTACAGTTATAACAACTACAGTATCGCCTTACTTTAAATCATGTTCACTAACAAAATTCGGACAAAATTCATGTTCACCAACAAAATTCGGACAATTTCCTCGTGCTTATGCCGCAAATTCACCAGGACAATTTAAAACTTATAAACCACGAACACCTGGTCTTAGATGGCTTAAAAGACCGATAAACGATCACTTGTGGAAGGGCAAGCCTGTACGAAAACTTACTATGGCCAAACGTGGAACTGGAGGTCGTAATCATCATGGTCATATCACAACACGCCATCGTGGTGGTGGTCATAAACGTCGTATCCGTATTGTTGATTTCCATCGATGGGATGCAGGCTCACATGAAGTTATCCGCATAGAATATGATCCAAATCGATCCGCACATCTCGCTTTACTCCAAAATCAAGAGACAGGAAAATTAACATATATAATTGCACCGCATGAATTAGAACCAGGAACAATGGTTCAATCGTTTCGTAGACCAACAGAAGATCAAGTTAAAGATAATGAAGATCCTTCTATTACTCGTGTTGCAGCCATAGAAAAGGGTAATTGCTTACCCTTGAAAATGATTCCAGTGGGTACACTAGTTCATTGTATTGGATTGAAGCCTAACGGGCCTGGAATTCTTTGTCGTGCAGCAGGATGTTCCGCTCAGGTAATAAGAACAGGAGAAAAAGGATATGCACAGGTTCGTCTTTCTTCAGGAGAAGTTCGACTGATACCCGTAGATTGTTGTGCAACAGTTGGTACACTATCAAACCCGGATCATCAGCATAGAACGTTAGGGAAAGCTGGTAGATCAAGGTGGTTGGGTATCAGACCAACTGTTAGAGGTGTTGCAATGAATGCGTGTGATCATCCTCATGGTGGTGGAAGAGGAAAAAGTAAAGGAAATCGACATCCATGCAGCCCAACAGGTGTTTTGGCTAAAGGAGGAAAGACTAGAAAAAGACCAAATAGATGGGTAGTCAAACCAAGGAAAAGACGATAATTTTGAATTATGACATTATTACATAGTTTAGGTTTGGGAATCAGGATTTCAGCTTCATTTTGGAATAATAATCAAAACCTAAATGCATGTCTCATCTTTGGTCAATAGTGTCAAATTTCAAAAACAGATCAAATTTGTTAAATTCGTAAAGTCAATGCTATAAATTAAACCTTCATTATTTTCATTCTCATACTAAAATGATTTAACGACTAGTTAAGGTATGTCAGATAAAAGTGATACAGTATGTTAAGTCTAATAGTTATTACCGAATATGTACACAATAGGTGAAAAATAGGTAAAATGAAAAATAAAATTTCGAAACATAAATAATAGACTTCTTGACAAAGTTTTACCAGAAATTCCTAATAGCTTTTTGAAAAGCAAAAACCCTAGTAAAGATTGATACCCTGTCAATTTTATGGTCAATCTTTACCAATTCCCGTTTCGAAAGCTATCAAAACTCCGCAAGAAAAATTGAAACAAGAGTACTATAGCATTCTTAGTAAATCAACACAAAAATCTATGGAAGTTAATTATTTGAAACGAGCATAAAATTGTCGTTATTTTTACTATTATCTTACTATTACTATTATTATTAATGTCGTTTATTAAAAATTTTATACTGATTAAAATGTCACATACAGTACGTCAAAATAATAGCTAAAAAAAATAAAACCTTTTGTTATATATCAAATGCTTTATTGGTTTTTCACTTTTTTAAAAAATAATCGCTATCTAACTACAGAATACAGTATATTTTACAATATCGATACTGAGTTTTTAGTATGTTTAAAACCAGTTGACTTTATACTGATAGGCATTGACGTTCAGTAGATATTGATTGATGTACTGTATTTCCATAATTCAGTTCCGCCTCAAAATTTTACAAATATAGTGTCTAATCAAAAAAACCAAGCGATTGTAGTAAAAAAAAAACTGTATTTGTAAAAACACCGCTCTTGGGTTCTCTGTACTTCCCGGTTGTGTATGTCGAAATTCATGTAAAACTCGTTAAGTTATAATCGTAACGCAACATAATCACTATAAAAAAAAAAAAAATTTCGTATTTTCTTTCATTTCGGTATGTACCGGTACGTATGTACGTTAATTTTTAATTAAATTTGAAGTGAGGTTTAACAAATAGTGTTTATCGTTATGATTTTAAATAAGGAGAGTTAGGTTATGTTAGGCATAACGATAAGGGTTTGTTAATAATGTAGCACAAAAAATTGTAATTATTTAAGCGCGAAGTTATACGTATAGCATGAGAATTAGTAAAGAAAGAAAAGACGAAAGAATAATACTTACCTTCGAAGCCTTTACCAGCGAAACGTATCGGCTTTTTAATATTGGCTAACCGGCTATCAATTGGTTCTAATTGGTTTAAGTCACCAAGTTACCTAAATTCGTAGCCACCGCAGCAAGTTCTCAAACTAAGTTCATACACATCTTAACATGATAAGCCTCTTTGTCTTCGATTAGATGATTATTATTATATAAAAAATGCCCAAAACTCAAAACTTGCGTGTCCGCCAATTAGACGTTTTGGTAAATACCTATCGCTAATTGAGATTCCACCTAATCCTAAACTACCGTATAGCGCTGCCTATAAGACCCCCGGTCTTATTCAAGAAACCCCCTCAGCTGACTTGAATAGTACCCGGGGT